CATGCACATTCCCACCATGTTGTACCAGCACTTCCAAAGAAGCTTTGGACTCTGTGAAGTGGTATTTTCTGAGAACAGTGTTCACTAGAAAATTCCCACCCACCTCAAAACCTGTCTGCCACAGTAATAACTCTGCACAGATACTGAGATCAGTTGGTGAAACAGAGGAGGGGGAAATGCAGAAGCAGATGAATGCTTTTCTCTTTGAACCAAAGCTCATTTTGTCAATTCCACCCCTACTATGATTTGAGAGACCACATGATTCCAAGGCCAGAAATTCTTTTCAGCCTTAGACATACATTTCCGTCATAAACATGCAACGCAAACCACAAGTAAATGTGCACATGTATCATTTCCTCTGCTGTACGTGGTGCTAAGTCTGCTTTTCTCCTTTCCATTCCCTTATTCAAAGGTGCACACTGTGGATGAGTTGACAACACAGCAACGCTTGTCCAAGAATAACATTCCAAACTCCCAGTCACTCACCCTGTACATGGACATATGTCACCTTTGCCATATCACAAGTATGGCTATCCTCTTTAGAGAGCATCAGAACAAGCTTGGCCCACATTTTCTTCTTTCCACTCACTACTCCCTTTTCCTGAAAGCTTTAACTTTACAAAGAGCAATTAAAATTAGCAAGGTATCTAACATAGTAGTCTGCTACTATTTAAGGTGTCAAATTAAAACCTGACCTGTATAAGACCACGTAGGCTCATGCTACATACAAACAGCACCAGTGTTTCACAAGGAGCAGATTCTCTCGAGAAACAACAGTTCAACCTGACAGCCGCAAAGGGGTTGTGCTGAGACCATGCCTGGGCTCAGGAAAGCTCAGCTTTACAGGACTCGAACAAAGCATGAAAAAGCAAGCCCTGTTTGCACTAAGTTTTGTTACTTTGCAGCAGTCTCAGCCCCAGCTCTTGGTTTGGTCCTGGAGTATTTGGAGGAGCCAAGGTGACTGCAGGAACTGGGTGCATTGGCAGCCAATTGGGCTAGTAGGTCCCAGAAACCTTCCACCCCATGGAAGAGAGAAGCCTCAGGGGCTCATAGCCCCCTGTCTCTGCTCCTGCTTGCACAGTGCATGAGCCCCTCAAGCACGCTGCTGACAGCACAGCACTCCAAAACCCCCAGGCACTATGGAAATCTCATAAAACAAAATTTGTCTTCTCTCAGGTGCGCTGGAAAGGGGTGGTGACAACACATAAGCTTACATTGCACTTCTAGGCCTTGTTGTTTTTAACTGAAATATTAAATACACTATTAAAAGCACAGTAGGAAAAGTTGACTTTTCTGGAGAGTGAAGGTATCTCCTTTGAAAAGTCTCATCTGTCTGCTGAGAAATTTCCACTTACTGTCTTTCACTAGCAGGAGACCCTGTTGAGAAATATGAAGCAGAAAGCTTTTGTTCAGAGATAATTGCAAGAAAAAGGAAGAGAAATCAGTGAAGCTTTTAATGTGAAGCTTTCCCTGTGGAAACATTTCATTGTACAATACAGGTGTACACAAAGACGCCAAAGGTAAGAAAAGGAAGGTTTTGGCTTGGAAAAGAGAACTGGAACTTTGATTAGGACTCACCTTAAAATGGACTTGTGCAAAAGAGGGAAAAAAAAAAACAAACATTCAAATAAAAGAAACTTCTAAGAGGAAACCCCATTGCTAAGATGAGGTAAAGCACTATCCAGGTCTATGTTTGAAAAAGTTTTGCAAGAAACAACTACTTGGCTAGGAGCATTGGAAAAACAACATACCCTTAACTATTTTGGCAAAAATCATAGTGTAGGTGCAGTTGTATGCATTCAGGCGAGAGGCCCTGCTGGAACACTGAGCCTCGTGACTAGCTAAACCTCTGCAGGGAACCCAGGGTGTAATTAAAACAGTTCAAGAGCAAGGATGCTGTGAGCACAAAACATCTACTTGGGGATGGGGTGGTGGGAGTGTGTTATTTGCCGATACAGTTATTTCAGCAATCTTGTATCAGCCAACCCAAGATGTTATAGATATTGATGTATGATTTATCTCCTTACTAGCTTGCTATCTTTGTATCTTTTACTCTTTCCAATTATATTACAGATATAATAATCTTCTTGATAAGGAACAAGAGGCTTCTCACTCTAATACTGCATAAGCATCCAAATAAGGGGAAGAATGCTCTAGATATACAAAGCCACTGCCCTTCCTTAAATAAATAGCTTTTCTCATAGGCATTTTTCAGCTGCTTATCTCCATGGTCAAAGCCTTCAATAAGACAGATAAAGAAACACTCTTGTTGGCCGGCTAAGCGACCTGCCAAAACAGAATTCCCACTGCCAGCACTGATACCACTTCGTTTAGATGTGGTTTCTCAGCCCACAGGCTTCGGCTGTTTGAAGGGAAAGCAGTTCTCAGAACAGATGGAGTTGGTAATAAAGCTCTTTCTAGGAGATACAAGGATTACACAGGGAACAAAATGGTGAAACAGTGTCTGGAGTGCATGCTGTAAACTTGAACCACTCAAAGTAAAATTCCCTTCCCACTGAGAACAACATGGTGGGACAAAGCGGAAGAGACAGCATGGCTTTCCAAAACATTAGCTGTCATGGCTGTTTCCCCTCAGAACACTGGCTATCTAAAAACTACTTGAGACACACGTTCCAGCCTCGCACTCACAAAAAAATCTTATGACTTGTCATTTTGAATCAGTATCAGGAGCACTGCCAAAAGAACGGATAAAGTAGCTGCCTCAAAAGAGCAAAATAGTCTATGCAGCAGACGGGGAAACAGTGCAGGCACTTGCCTGTGTATAGCAGAGCTCCTGAGCTCATCATCTACAAAGTCATATTTGGTTTCCACTAGATCTACCCCAGCCATCCTGCTTCCAGTGAAGAAGGAGGATGTGTATTCCAGAAATCCAGAGCTGCTTCACTTTCCAGGCTACTTGTGCTTAGACTGCAATCTCTGCAACGCAAGGCACAGACTACTGGGTATCTGCAGAGCAGCTACCACAGAGCTTCTGCAAACCAGCTTTGAGTCAGCACTTTGAAATCCATGAGCATCAGCAACACTGTTTCAACAGGATGGGTAGGCAAAGGGAAGGGAAAGAACAAGCCCAGGTAAACCTGAGTTTAGCAGGTGTCCAGGTAAACCATTCCAGTCCAGACTAAGGCCTCATTTAATCAAGTAACCTGTTCTCAGCAGTGTGGACAAGCAGGTGTGCAAAGAGAAAGAGCAGGGAAAACATGTATGGTATTTCTCCCACTTATTTTCCCAGCTTCCAATGATCTTCATCTCAGGAGAGGTCCTGAGTCTGATTTCATTTGTTTATTTAGTGATCCCCAGTGGGTGTCTCTTTGAAGCATTTGCCCTATCATTTGATTTACTTTGTTCATTGTTACTGAGCATTAAGCTGACATTTTAAATGAAAGACTATGGTGGTGTCATTCCTAAAAAAATCTGGAGGTTATAGTCCCACAGTCCTGATCTGAAGTACTTTGCATTTTGTAATAAGTTGCTTCATCAAATTTTCACTGTCTTTGTAGATCTTAGCAGGAAGGGACTTTCACTTTACATGATTACAGTTTAAATGTACTAAAGTAAAACTAGACTTGTCTCTCCTTATAATTGCCTTTGCAATTGTGCTTGTTTCATCAACTATCATAGAATCATGGGTACAACCAAAGTCCAGTCAAATCAAACAGATCTGTAACCCAAATCTCTTTACATGACTTGTACATGTTCCACACCTAAGGACAGTTGCCTGCATTCTCACCCAGGCCCTGGACATATAATTTACTATTACAATAGTATCCAAACCACAAAGCAGGCCTGAGCCTCATTATTCTAAGCAAGGTCTCCTGAACTGCATTGAATTGGCTTTTAAATGTAATACATCATGGCTGAAACCTTGGCTCCTTCTTTACTCTATGGGATTACCTTCACTCAGGCCAGGATTTTGCCTGAGGAACAGCTTTACCATTTAGCATTATTTCATAATTGTCTTGTTGGGTGCTTTCCTGCTTGTTAAAGTATTTAAAGGCTTTCCCCTCTTCAGCTTTACTCAGTGGCAGGCGAAGTGATACTCACACCCTTCAGATCAAGAAAGGCTGAGATGGCCAAAATTATCTTTTATCCAAATCTCTCATTGGCTCTGTTGGAGCCAATTTCTCCTTGCCTCCAACTCAGAGAAAACTATTGCAGATATGTGCTTTAAGGTTGAATTTAGCTTATAGCTTTTTTCCAGTTGGTGCTATGTCCAGGAAAGACCTTTTTGGCAACTGAAGTTTGAAACTCTGTTCCAACCCTGGGTCTTAAACTGAACAGAAGAAGTTTACTGGAGGTGAAGCAACCTTTCTTCCTTTCCTTACTGATCATCCCCTGCCATCTGCAATAGCCACTCACTGCTGCATAAAGCACAGCTTTGAAAAAGCTAGTGCAAATAAATGCATAGTGTCAATAGTGGGCAGTTAAATGACCAGGAAGACTGAAGGGAAAAAATTAAGTCTAGGTTTACCTGATTGTACTGCTAAACAGAAATAATTGAACAAGATGAAAGTAAATGTGCTATTTAGCATAGTCAAGCAGAAAGGATTCATTCCTGAAAGTTTCAAGACTTGCTTTTTTTTGTGTCAGCTTTATCAGACACACTTCCATTCCCTCTAGCAGACACGCTTGTTACTGAGAAGAGCATAGAAACCAAAGTGTCCATCTTGCAAAATTTGGTCTGACTTTGTGTGATTAAGATGGGGTGATTTGGATCACAGTGTTTTGCAGCCAGAAGGGCAGATTAAGCCTGTCTGAAGCCTTGACCCACATGCTTTGACTTCAAGAGAAGAAACTGGCAGCAGGAGAAAAACTAAACAGCTTGCTGCATTGTTCCAGCAGGCACAGAGGAACAGCTATGCTGTGCACTAAGTAAGTATGATTAGCTCATTTGTCATTAGTTTAAACTAACATGAAGCAGAAAGCGGAAGTCTAAACACATGGAAACAGCACCTCCCAATTCTGATTAGCCTCTTGTTTATACCATGCTGTAGTACGGCTGCATTGGCTCACTTAACCCTTCTGCAGGCACGAATGTTGTAACTCCTGTCTCTCTTGGAGAAAGGAAGGAACACCTCCCTCCGCAGAGGGTTAGCAAGAGACAGACAAGTAATCCTGCAAACTACCACCACCACCATGAAGATATCAAATGTTCTTGTTCTCATCTTAGTCCTGCTTTACATCAGTGCCAGCACAGAATGGCCTACGCATACAGTCTGCAAAGAGGACAACTTGGAAATATATTACAAAAGCTGTGGTGAGATTTTTAAAATTTCCATTTTCCTTTTAGCTGGGCAACAAAGTTGTTGTTATGCAGTGAGAGATGGTTGTGATCCAGGCAGTGAATGGAAGGGTTATGCTCCCAAATGAGCACTGGGTTTCGCAGCTAGAATATTTTTAATCTTTCAAACAGAGCTGGTTTGGTTGACACACACACACAAATCTAACTGCATTTATATAGGAGATAAAAAAGAGAAAATAATATAACCTAATTCAGAATAATAAACAGCTGTCAAAAATCTAGTTTGCGTGAAAGAGATGACTAGGATTTTGATCTCAAAGTTAGGTTAAATAAAAAGAGGAAGACCCTGGATCTTTATCTTTCTTTTTGCCCCAGGATGAAACAGATTCTTCAATGCACTGATCTACTGATTTCCTGATGTGCAGCAAGGCTGTGGTGATATGCTTTCTGTCCTCCTACTTGGAGTGACAAGGGACCCAGTGTGACAGTGGGAGAGATTCATGTTCTCCACCATTGCCACCGTGCTTAGTGAGACTTTAGCAGCAGCACTTAACAGAGGCATTTCCCAGGGACCATAGGGTTTTGTTTGTTCTTTAAATCTGTAGAGAAGAAAAGGAGCAAGTGGCACTGGAATGAGTGAAAATAAATTCACTGAATGGTGCTTGCTTTCCACCTCTTGCTTTGCTGGCCTTGTGCCTTTCCTATTGTGCTGATCTGCTTTACAACTGGGACAAAGGGAATTAGATTCACAGACGACTCATTCATTTTCTGCACGTGATGTGAAAAGCGATTCATAGCAATTGAGCACCCTAGAGTTTGTTTTTCCAATTCATCCTGATACAAAGGATTTCCCAGGGGGCTTTTTCTCGCTGGTAGATTTCATGCGGTTTTGCACACCCATTAAAATAAAGCCAGTGAGGGACAAGAGAAGCAAATAAATATTTGCAATGCTTTTCTTTACTGGCCTACTCCCAGGAGACTGAAGTCAGACTTCACGTATTATAAATAGGTATATTGCATTAGGAAAATATTTAATTAGCTATTGAATACAAGCTTCATTATTACCTTTATTTTAGTGAGAATTCATTGTATAAGTTAATTCTGTTCCCTCATCAGAAGGTCTCAGTTAACATGAGATGCCTTGACACAGAGGCACAAGCTACAGCTTGAGTCAATTCAAATGATGATGAAATTTATCTGCTGGGCACGTGTCAGTCAGCCATTGCTTCTTACCATGCACACCAGTGACCTAGCTAACAAAATGCATTTGTTTAGAGATTGCGTGTCACTTATTCTGGTTTGCCACATGCAGAAAGGTAAGAGGTACTTTCATTCAGGAGGAATTCACAGCTTGAGAAGCACAAGCCAGAGATCGTGCAGGTCAGGGCCCAACAATGAAAGAAGATTTCTGTTCTCCCAGGCACAGCCATAGGAGGTAAGATTACACAGACATGGAAATAATGCAAGAATTAAATCAGATTCCTCACTCCCTTACAGCTCTGGCAGATTCAGTTGTGTCAACACTCCCAGCTGCTGGGAGTGTTCTGCCCTGCCTTTTTCTAGAGGCTACCACACCTGTAGCATCAGACCAGGATGCACCATCTGCATCTCTGCTGATGCAGCTCATAGTCTGGTAGCTTCCAGAAAGCAGAAAAATACAAGGTGTTTTGGGCTGAGCCCCAAAACTCTACAGGTTGGGAGCATAAATCCGCATACACTACTCTCATTCCCCTCAGAGAAGGCATTACTCTTACTGAGCCTCCTGACAAGCTCACAATAGCGCCAAAAGTGCAGATCACCTTTTCAGGAGTGGGGAAGCTTTGTCCCCACTTCATTTCACTGTAAGCCACAAGTAGGTGGGTAGAACATAGCTTCATTCTTCAGCTATGGGTAGGTGGTGTCCCACCTATTGTTCTTAACCCAGGAGAGAACAGACAGGCTAATGCCTAGGTTTAACAAGACCCTTTGCCAACAAAACTTCTCATGACAACTTTGCAATGTCAGCAAGCACAGTCAATGCTAGGCAACTGCCCATACTCTCTAGCTATTTCGGGGAAGACTGCTCCTCATTTGCCTCCAGGCTCAGAAATCCCCATGGTATTTCCTACTCACTGAAGATGCCAGAGGATGCCATATTTTTTGGAACACAAGTGGCCACAGGTATCTAGGATGAAATCTTAGATAAAGGATTTCCTGTTGAACCCAAGAGGGTCAGGATTTCACCTTTGATAGGCTCTATAGTAACTCTATAGAGAGTTACTATAAACTAGTATCAGTGAATCAGGGTTGAATCAAGTAAAATTTAAGGAAGTTGAGAGAATTTTTGCCAAGTACTTGACAACTTTATTTCTGGAGCTGAATGCCCTCTATCAACAGATTAATAGATCAGTCTGAGCACTTTAAAAGGAGCTAAGTGTTCATTTTTACTTTGCAGTTTATCAGATCCTCTCCTATAATGCAGTAAAAATCTGACTAAAGCCAAAAATATGAGCCAATATAACTGTGATAAATGTATCAGAGAAGCTTAGGTGGATAACTGAAGAGGGACAGATAAAGCACATCCCATACCTACCCAGGAGCAAGTCCCAGTTCCCTGTTACAAGCACTTGCTCTAGCTGCATCCTGCCCCTATAGTGTGTAAGATACAGGCATGCATCAAGCCCCCAGCCTCAGTCCATGTTCTGGATCCTATAGATCCGTCCCACCCAGACATGTCAGACTAAGCATTCAGTAACCAAAAGAAAGGGCTAAACAAGATGCTGGTAATCAATATAATGCATTTGTAAAAAACCCAAAGTAATTTCAAAGAAATCAGACAAAAATTCTCAGCAGCAAATCCATGGGGAGAAACTCAGGCTGAAAGAAGTTTGGTCTAAAAGTAAAGTAAATAGACACTATGCTGCCTCCTTTATACAACCACAGGAGACATAAGACCAAGACAGTTCATAAATAGCAAGACATTTCCCATCAGTGCCACTCTTCCTCCAAGGAAAAAGTGACAAAAATGAAGGAAGATCTCAAATGACCATAAATCACTTTACAAACCTGGTTAGGGATCCTGAGATAAAAGCAACACAGGTTAACATCTCTGACTGAGAAGAGAGAACCATAACTGGCAAGTCTATGCAGAGACATGAACTTGCTACACAAATGGCTGATTCCTACCCCTTTTAATTTCACAGTGATTTTTTACAGTAATAACACTTTTGATCTTTCCAGCTACATTTTAAGAGGCAATTGTCTGAGAAGGGAAAGGCGGAAAGGCAGAGGCAGCAAAATGCCCCAAGCAGATTCCACTGTTATTTGAGTGTCAGGCATTCACCTCAAAGTGCAAAGTGCAATGCAGTCAGAGACTACAAATTGTAACTCCTCTACCTGTCTACCAGCACCTGCTTCTGTTATTCTATCTGCTATTCATGTAAGCCTAATTGTCCTAATTAGCCATGAAAACATTCTCCCAATATAGTGTTCAAATGGGGCCCTCTTCATAGGCTAAAGCAGGTGATTGCTGCTGCAGACACATGGAAACTGTTTTCCAACTATTTTTACAGTTCTTTCTTGAAATGTTAGTTGGGAATACATAACATCAGCATTTCAGAAAGTCTGTTTTTGTTTTGACCAGCAAACCCAAAACAGTATGCTTGGTGATTAATACACTCTATTTTTAGATTAGGACCTCAGATTTCAGCGCTACCTGGTTTCTTGACAGTGCAGAAAAGGTTACTGATACAGCAGAAGGTTCTTAGAAAGGATCTGGAGAGCAACGACCGTTAAGGACTTTGTTTTCTATGTGTGAGAGTAAATAACAAGGAATTTGGGGAAGATCTTCAGGAGAATCAAAGTAGTAGTATTTGAAGATGACATCTTGAGACATACTCATTGGGCATTATAAAACACTGTCAAGACATGGGACTTTTACTATCAGACAAACATTTCCCTATTCATGACTGACTTTGATTGCTTTTTCTTCTTTTTTCATCTGAAGCAAGGTTAACAGCCATTAGGTGAACTTTCAGAAGGAGCAATCAATCTGTATTAATTTTAAACTCCAGAACCTAAATACGTAAACAGTGCAGCCAGTTTCAAGTTTTATATCTGCATATCCACAGATTAAAAAATATAATAAAACAAGTTTAGGGATACGGGTAACAATTTGCTTTATTTAACATCTTCTGCTAGACAAAGAAGCAGGGCCCTCTGGTTATCTAGAGAATTGTTTTTACTTGCCAATGTCTCCTCCTAAGCAGAGCAAAGAAAGACTGAACTTAGATCCAGTGAGCTCCATGACTGCTTGCACAGCTTTATGTCACACTTCCAGCAGGGTAATTTTTGTAAAGGTTTTTTTCTGCCCTTCATTGGTACAGTAGGAGAGCAGCACTGCCCACTTCAGTATGAGCTTGCACTGGATTGCATTTACAGGTAGAGAAACTCTCATTTGTGTGGCTTTTCTTTAAACTTGTGAGCACAGGTTTGGTTCTCCATTAAAACGGCACCTTAAAGTCAACAGGGTTATTGTGGTACAGAACTTGCTCTGGTCAGATACCACAGTATAGACACCTTCCTTTTAAACATTGCTTTGAGGGAACTGTTTGTACTTGAAAAAGGAAAGAAGAAAAAGTAGAAACTGGTTAGACTGCAATCTTCTGATGATCTGTCTGGCCATGCTGAAAAGCTGCAGTCTTACTGCCCCCCCATAAACACACTCAGCCCATCATATCCTTCTTCCTACATACTGAGAAATCAAATATTCTATTTATCTTTAAATTCTCTTGTTCCTCTTTTAAAAAATAGACCTGTAACACCCATCCCTGCTCAATCAGCAATACCAACTTGTAAACAGTCCCACTGAATTGTTATCATTGCAGCATGAATTTTACAGCACATCACTTTGTTTTCTATGTCAACCAATATTATTAGTCCTTTTTCTCCTTGGTCACACACTTACATCCTTTATTTAAAGGTTACAAGTAATCCAATAGCTTCAGCTGGCAAAGAAAAGTCTGCAAAGAAAATCT